GGTGAAAAGGCATCAGAACTAAATGTTTGCTCCCATATGAGATGTTAAAAATCAGCCTCGTTGTCTGAGCTGTGTGAAAGAGAATCTGGGAGGCGCACTAACTTGTGTTCCTGCAGAGAAAATTGACAGTTTGTTGGCAGAAACATAATATCACAGCTGCGGTGAATTTTAAGTTGCGACAGCTGAAAGGATGTTGGCAGAGTTAAACGTGGAGCCAGAAAAAAAATTACAAAACAATCTCAACTCATAAATAAACCTCAGTGTATCATATCTGGTGTCTGCTGTCTGAAAGAATGCATGCTTTCAGGTAATGTGTGTCAGTTTGCATAACGTCTGTCACGGACAGACCACCAAATGCACATTTAATAACTATATATATATATTTTTCTACATTAACTGTATTTGTTTTGTATTTTATAGCATCCAGGTAACTGTTGTGTCTTTTTTTCCGTGATTTTCAACACCTCAGGTGTGCCTACAACCACATCTGAATGAAAAAAATGCAAAAAAGAAAACAAATTAAAAGACCTGAGTGTATCGCCCAACACCTTTTTATGTTAAAGTTTTAAGACCATCTAATGTTGATGGGTTTTGAATCGTTTAAGTCAAACCTTGAAAATAAAATTTTGCACAATTTTTAAATAGGAAAATGTTACACAATCTGCTAGCACTCAAAATATGTGTTGTTGACTGCGAGCTATRGTCACACCAAATTTAAGCTCAAAGTTTGAAACTTCCATTAAAATCCAGATTCCCTGTGAGGCCTATAGTGAGGTTTTTGGTCTCACCAGGTAGTCGTCGGGTTTGATGCCAAACAGGTCTCTGAAGTAGCGGAAGGCCAGCGGGGCGTACGTCTTGAAACGGAARTCGGGGTAGTGATGAGCCGGGGTCAAGTTGCTTCCTTCACTGGAAACAAAAACACAAACATCACGTTTAGCAGAACCAATCAGTAACTGATCAGCTGTTCCAGCAGCAGCAGCGACGGAACGTGAACCCCAACGCCTCACTTTTGAGTTTGACCTTCTCAGCTTTTGACTCTGGTGTAATTCRCTCCCAGTTCGCATGAAAAGGCTTCAGTGAAGTTATCTGTGGGAACACAGATTCCCCAGAAAGGTGATGACAAAAAAGCCAGTGTAGAGTTCTTCACCTGGAGACAGACGGTGGCTCAGATTACTGGACCCAAACAATAATCAACAACACATGAGCCTTTACCGTAGGAGTGTGTGTGTGTGTGTGTGTGTGTGTGTGGGGGGGGGAGGAGGGAAACAACAGGCTTTTAAAAAAATCTATTTAACCCACATTTTGTACTCTTTACTGAACTGTGGGACATTCTCAGACAAGCTTTGACAAAAACCGACCCTGCTCTTGTAACTAAGCTGACTTTCATTTCAGGGAAAACCCAAACCACTGGAGGGAGCAGGTGCAGGTGGGGCTGTGCACCACCTAAGCTGCAAAACCTGCTGCGTCCAACAGTGGAGATTTTCTGATTAAAATTTCATTTGTAATACTAAAATCAGATGATAAACTAGAAGCACTCGGAGAGTGCAAACCTCCGCCAAGACCAATTTCCCCCATCCTGTAATAGAGTAAATGCACAAAAAACAGAGATGGAAACACATTTGCTGAATAAGTTCTGACGTAGTGAACATTTAAGCAGGCAGTATGCACGGAATTTCTTCCTGGTGGAGTCCAATGTGAAAAAAAAAAGTCAGACTCGTCACCCGACGTTATTCCTCGTCAAACTGGTGTSGGATTAAGCTCCTAAGATTTCATCAGTCACATTTCACCATGTAAAATGTCTGTTTTATCCCCTTGTATGAGTTTGTAATGGTTTGACTCTCTTTATAAAGTGCTTCCTGGCTTCCCCTGTCTCCAAACTTTGAGGCCCGGCCAGAAGCTCTGTGTTTATAAGCCTAGTAGCGAGAAACTGTTTTGATTGGTTGTTTCGGAAATGTGGTGTGTTTGAGGAATCATGGTGCAGTCACGCACTTCCCGGTCACAAACCGTTCTCTAAATGCACATATTATGGCAAAAATTATTCATCATTATATCTGTTTTTAACATTACTTTTATAAAGTTTGAAGTCCATGCTGTCCAATCCAGCTCACTGTTTATTACAGAAGCCCTGTGAAAGCATCACAGCTTTGCCSATCTCAGAGTGTTAAAAGAAAAATAAATTTGTGTATCCGCTTCGTGGTCCGGAACGTCACCAAAATTTAACGGTGTGTTCCTTGGCCCAGTAACCACATGTGGTAAAAATGTCATGACAATCTGTCCACAAGTTTTTGAGTAATGTTGTCCACAGACAGACCGACAGACAGACATACGCGACCGAAAACATTACCTCGCCCTTGGCGGAGGTAATTATCAGTCARCAGGTTGGAGCAGACAGACCTGACATGAACCAAACAAAGAAAACTAAAGACAGAGGGGAGATGCACAACACGAAGACTTTGATCGCCCACAGGTGGAGCTTATAATTATGTTGTTATAATGCCTGGGGCTTTAMAGAAAAGTGGTGTATCTATATATACACACCACTTCTTTCATTTGATTAAATTTAGAATTATATCACAAATGTTTTTGCTAAAATGATCAAAGCTAGAAGCTAAATGTAGCTATAGACTGAATAAAGGCTAGCCAAAAGATTAAACTGGTTAGCTAAAAGCTTATAGTAATAACAGCGTAGCTAAAAGTAGCAAATAGCTAGGCAAAACTTAAAGTAGCAAAGGAGTAGCTAAACCCTAAAGGWAAGAAAAGGCTATGTGAAAAAAATCAAAAGTCTGGCTAAAGTTTAAGTAGGCYAAGGGAAGCTAAAATCTTACAAATACTAGCCAAAAGTAGCAGAATGATAGCTAAATGATCATTGTAGCAAAATTCTAGCTTTAAATAAAAAGACAAAGATTTCAAAACAAGCAAGGTTTTTGAAAGGATTAGAGTTTTCAATATAGTTWAAGAGGAAAATATTTTAGTGTGAGTGTGCTGAGTCATGATTCCCACAAAAATGACGGGAATTAGTTCAGCTGATCCGATATGTGGAAGTAGGTTAATAAAGGTTTGGTCTTCCAGGGCAAATCTAAATCTGGTTTGACGTTTTAGGTAACGAGGAGACCCGTGTTGCAGCTGCAACAATTCGACTGAGGCAACAGGGCTGAACACGATGCTCGTGATGACTCCACAGTGAAATCTGACTACTCTGTTTAAGGGCAACAATGTTTACCTGTCAGAGAAACATGACACGGCACACGGAGATGTTTGATTCAGTCCCATCAGAGCGCCATCTGCGTGTGCAGTTTAATATGAACAAACGCAACGAGGGATTTGTTTGTTTGTGTGAAAACTAGCTTGATAGACTAAAAGGCAGCAGATAAAAAACCTCCAGAGATAAGGATAAGAAAAAGTGTTGACAGAGCGAGGGGGGAAAAAAGCTTCAGAAAGCATCTTAGCCTTTTAATATTAAAAAAAGATGTTTTGTGTGTTTTTTGACAAGAAGAGAAACACTCAGAGAATAAATAAGGGGGAGATTATGTCACATGTTAGATGTAAAACATTCAATTTCCCTCCCTGATAATTATGTTTTGCTTCTTTGTGTTTTTTCTTTCTGTTTATCTTAGAGAGAAGCCAGCCTTGGAGACAAGCGTGGCTTTTAATAAATTTGAACATTGTGTTTGTTGTCACWGAGGGTGATGTAATAAATTTGGTTTTCATTTTAAATTTCAGAGGCATCAAAGTGAAGCAGCTGCAAAAAACAAAACAAAAAAAGAGAGAGAGAAAGAGAGAGAGAAATGTTTAGCCATTGCTGAGAAGCAGGACAATAAAGGTCAGTGTGCGTGCCAAGAACAGGTTTGCATAAAACCATACTGCGTTTGCATATCCTGGTGCTGCATGTCAAAGGTAAACCACAAACTATTTCAGGACCRGACTCCAAAATGTCTTCCTGAAACCTAAGAGTTAAGAAAAAAATATTTGGTGGTGCGTGGATTCAGGCRAAGAAAAAAAGACAAAGAATGAACATATTCTGGTTTATAACCACCAATATGAAGAATACGAATCACTATTTATTTATTTACTTTTACTTTCACATTCCCAAAGACTGAATTATACAGTATAACATTAGAATTCATGATATGTACAATATAATTCAAATTTAAGAAGTAAATAAAAACGTAGATAAGAAATCAACTAAAATGCATAGATGGATAACTCAGATTAAATGATCTAATCATCTATACCAGTAGGTCTGAAACTATGGTGGGTGGGGGGCTACAGAGGGGTGCATGACGTCGCTTAATTGTTGTTTATTTTTTGTAGATTTTTTTGTGTTTTTGAATTGAACTTGAAAACTAAAAAGAATGGTTATAAAACCACATTTCAATTAATAAACATACTTGACACCCTGTTACCATTTTGCTATTATTTTGTTGATGCCTGTAGGGTTCGGCTGGAGGGGCGACAGCGGGGTCCAGACAAACCACCAATCTAACCCTAAAAGGGTAGGATGCAGCAGMTCAGTGGTCAGTCTTTGAATCTTAAGGTTGCAGGTTTGAACCCAGGTTGTGTCACAAAGAGTTTCTGGCATAAAAACCACTGAAGCAGCCGAAAAAACAACAACAACATCTATACTGAAGAGGGAAGCTTTAACTTTTTCTAGGATTTTATATTTTAATCACTTCATCTAAAAGCACAACCCTAAAACTCTGCTTAAAGGATAAAGGTAATAAGAAATAAAAAGAAATAATGTGTATTATATAGTCTAAATAAGAGTTGAGGTGTCCTGCTGCATCTCAGTAACAGAGTATTTTATAGTCAAACTAATGTATTTTCACAGAGATCATTGGTCCAAAGGTTAAAAATCACTGCTCCTAATGAATAATAAATACAGACACTGGCTGCATGACTTTGTGAGMACACACAAGATTCCTGGGTCAGCTTTAGATTATATAAAAGGTTTCTTTAGGCTGCTGATGTCATTGTGAAGACGGAGCGGACTGACGWACGCTGTGTGCTGCAGCAGCAAGAGGCTGGCAGTAAGCTGCTTTCACCGCCGCTGGCAGGATAATCCACTGGAAGACTTACATCCCTGCATCACCACTCAGACCACGGGCAAAACTGACATGGCTGATTAAAGATAATGGAGGCGATCTACAGTGGTGGTATCATTTCTTTGCACTTCGTGCCAGCAGCTGCCTCGAGCAAGAAGAATAATAGAGTTTTAGTGTTTCTTTAATGCAGACAAAACCAGAGAAGCTGCATGGTGAATGCTGAATGACGAATGAATTTATTGAAATTTGCTGAACGCAAAACTGCTCAAATTTGCCAATTTGCTGCTGATTTTTAGTCACAATAATAATAATAATTCAAATGAGGAAT